CTGAAATGATTCCAAATTTATCAAAAGAGACAAAAGCCGGCCTGAAATGACTCAAAATATGGCAAAAACTGGCCCAAAATGTGTTGAATGTGAGAGAAATACGCCGAAAATTACTCTAAATGTGTTCAACGTGAGGAAGAACTTGCCCAGAATGAATAAATAATCGTTCAACCTGACAAACCCCTGTTCAGAATGTGTTCAATGTGCCTCTACATGTGTGTGAAATGACAAAAACCCGTCTAACATGAAAACAAACGTGTCTTGTTCTGGTCCAGAATGGCTCCAGACGTGTTTAAGGAGATAAAACTTTCCCAGAATGCCTCAAAGCTTGTCCAACGCTGAAAACAAACGCGGTTTCGAGGTTCTAAACGTGCTCAAAAACTCACAAAATTTGCATCAGAACTGGCGAAAAATGTGATATTTAAAGGAACTGGGCGTGTCAATGGCAAAATGGCTCCACAGCGCCCCCGAGAACAGTCCTGTTGGAAGCTCGTTTGGCCTCGAGGTACGATACTTGGTAGGCACGTGGAGCAGGTTGGGACGCACAAAAACGTCCAGGTGCCCACATTGCACGTCCAACAGGAAGTCTGGCATTTTGGAAAGACGGCGAGCATTTTGGCGATTTTCACTCATTTTTCTAAATCTATCTCCTTCGCGGGGGAACGTCGTACACACCTGAAATGTAGCCAGCACAAACTACAGGACGTGGTGATTAGAAGTTATCAGGACGCTCCACAAACGTGTAACGGCGCCAAAATGGTGGCCCGTGCCATTTCCATAAAAGGCCATTTTGCACATTTTCAGTGTGTTTCCGGCAGTCCTGTCGGAAGGCCGTTTCACCTTCACCAATGAGATTGGGTGGGCATGTGCAGCAGGTCAGGACGCACAAAAAAGCCAATCAGCGCCAAGCCCTAAACCCAACAGGAAGTATGTCATTTTGAAAAAAGACGGTGAGAATTTCATTGATTTTTGCTCATTGTTGGCCTTTTTCTAAATCTATCTCCTCCGCGGGGGAACGTCGTACACACCTGAAATGCGGCCAGCACAAATTACAGGACGTGGTGATTAGAAGTTCTTAAAACGGTCCGCAAAAGTGTAACGGCGCCAAAATGGCGGCCCGTGCAATTTCGGGAAAAAAAAGCCATAAACTACCACATGGTGTGTAACTGGCCCGGCTCAGCGAGGACCGGACCATCGCTGCTTTGACTTGTTGCCTGTTTTCCATGAGTTTAATGGTTCTTTACGTCGTTGCAGACGATCTGTTAAATGGATCATTCACTGTGACGCAGCAGAACATGGATGTGACGAAACCAAAAGGCCGTGGCAGCTCCCGTAAAGGTCTGTTTGGATAAAGTGAGGTGTGACGAAAGAGTCGGTTTTCTCTGTTTACACATTGACGTGGTTTATTGTTCAGAGCAGATTTAACGAAGCAGAATCACATGAAGCAGCAGCTCAGACACACAAGCTGAATCCAGCGAGCGTCAGCAGGAGTTTATCTACGAGTTGGACTTCGTGTTTCAGCAGGTTCACGTCAATCTGAGCTCACATCGAGTTAAGTTCATGTCGTTCGGTCCCATTTTCAACGTGTTTGTTGTTTCCTCCAGATTTCAAGTCATTTAAGAGAAATTTTTTTGAAAACTTTTGTGAGTCATTTTTGAAATTTATTTATTTATTTTTAATTTAGTCAGATTTTTTTTTTCCGTCTTTATGTTATTCTGGTATGCCAGAAATACACCAATAAATTAATAAGATCATTTTGAACAATTAATAAGTGAGACAACATGGCGACGTATAGTCTGAGTTGTGAGTGGTTATTATTGTTATTTATTTAATAATTTTTTTTCCTGTAGCCTTTTTGTTATTCTGGAATGTCTGAAATAGATCAATGAATTAATTGGATGACATATTTTGAGAATTTCTAGTAACTCTGTGTTTGTTTTTAAGATTTATTTTGGATATTTTTTTCATTACTCTGTACATGCTTTGGGGCCGTTTTGGCTGATTTTTGGCTGATTCTGGATGAATCCAGTGTCCTCCTGAACAACTCTTTATTTATTCTGTCACTTTGATTCATTTGGACTATTTTTCTGTCATTGTGCAGAAGTTTAAAAGTAATTTTCAACAAATTGTGACTCATTTTATAATCGGTTTCCAGTCGTCTTTTTTTTTTTTTTTAAATCACTGTGACCACATTTAGAAATATTTATGTCCGGACAGGTTTTTGCGGGTAATTATTCACAGCTTATGTAATTTTTTGAACAGATTTAGATAATTTTGGATAAATTCTGAGTGGTTTTCTAGATTTTTTTTATCTCACTTTGGAGTCAACAAACCGCTGGATGAATGCTCTGTGATGCGGTCAGATGCAGATCTCTGACGTTTAACTCCCGTCACGCTGCAAACTAGAAACGATAGAAACTGTTTGTTCTGGTTCCCACATCAGACAGAAAAGGAAATTAATCGGGTCGTCTCCACTTTGGTGGACTATCAACGAAGTGGTTCTGGATCAGGACGGGTCCAGCAGCAGGTCGTCACTCAGGAAGCCCGGCACTGACGACCGAAGCTCCGCCTCCTTCTCCGCCTCCGTCTCCAGGACGATGTGTTTGGCCGTCTCCTTGGAGACCAGAGACGTCTTCGTCCCCTCCAGCCAGTAGGTCACCATGTCGCCTTTCCCCTGCAGGGGCAGAGCACAGGGGGTTAGTTGGAGTAAGGACTGGGAGCACTGGGAACACTGGGAGGACTGGGAACACTGGGATGACTGGGTGCACTGGGAACACTGGGAGCACTGGAACACTGGGAGGACTGGCAACACTGGGCACACTGGAAACACTGGGTGCACTGGGAACACTGGGAACACTGGGAGGACTGGCAGCACTGGGAGCACTGGAAGGACTGGGTGCACTGGAAACACTGAGAACAGTGGGAGGGCTGGGCACACTGGAAACACTGGGTGCACTGGGAACACTGGGAGGACTGACAGCACTGGGAACACTGGGAGGACTGGGCACACTGGAAACACTGGCAGGACTGGCAGCACTGGGAGCACTGGAAACACTGAGAACACTGGGAGGCCCACCTTCACTTGCAGTGTCCCTCTACACTCCAGCACGTAGCCGCCGATCTCCTCCAGCAGGTAGAAGGTGCTGGAGCTGCACTGGATCTTCAGGGCTGCAAACAAAACCTTGTTGCAGTAAAGTCAGACTTTTTCTTTCTCAGTTCCAGGTTTTCTCTGAGTCTCCATCAAATTTTCAAAGATTCCGAGTTTCTTTTGGACAAACTACGAGTCACCCTGGACGGTTTGGACTCGTTTTGGTCGAATCGTCTTTGACTTCTTTTATCATTTTGAGCTCTTTATGAGACATTTGGTCAATTTCAAGTAGTTTTGCATCAACTTCAAATACCTTTGGGCATATTTTAAAAGCTTTGAATAATTTAGATAAATTTAAATCATTTTTGACAAATCGGGTCTTTCAGAAAACATTTTCTCATTCTGGATAAATTCATGAGTGATCATTCTGAGTCCCTTTCCAGACTCTGTTTGGTTCTGGTTCTGTTACCAAGGCTGTTGGACTCCATCCTGGACGCCGTGTTCACCGTGTCTCCAAACAGACAGTACCGAGGCATCTTGGTGCCGACCACTCCTGCCACCACCGGACCTGCACAAACAGCAGAACCCTCAGAAGCCGCGTTCCCGGAACACGCAGAACGTCTGGTTCTGGTGGAGGCTCGTGTTACCGGAGTGGATCCCGGCTCGGATCTGCAGCTGAGTGTTGGGCTTGTGGGGGATCCGGAAGGTTCTGCAGACGCCCACCAGGTCCAGAGCCATGCTGGAGATCTGGGAGGCGTGAAGGATCCCGTTGACCCGTGGAACACCGGAGACCACCATGTCTACACAACACAACAACAACAACAACAACAACAACACAACAATTAGAGTATCAAGTAGTCATACCTTGTTTGCAGTTATTTTGTTACTCCAGTGATTGTCTAACTCGGGTTCTGATGTCCACCGTTATGTCACTTCAGACTATTTCAGCCTTTGAATCTGTTTCTCCTAAGTTTTAAGCCTCCTGTCTATTAAACAGTTTGAACGCTGTTTTGCTCACAGGCGTCTCCGATGGTTTCCACCTTGTAGACGTCGTAGTTGTCGATGATGTCGTCGAACGTGGTGTAGAGCTTGTTGAGGAAGTCGACCACCTGGTAGGGAGTGCTGCTGCTGGACAGCTGAGTGAAGCCCACGATGTCGCTGCACACACAGACAGGTGGGTTAGTCCTCACGTGCACCCTCACCTCGCTGTCCAAGCTGCTTCTACTGCTTTAAGTCCCGCCCCTCTACCTGAAGAAGACGGTGGCGCTGACGTAGCTCTGGGCCTGCATCGGTTTCCCCTGGCGGAGGTCGTCAGCCACCTGCTTAGGAAGCATACCTGCAGCGCAAACACTTTGGTTTAACTCACATTCCTCGTGTCTTCTGAGAAGGGAGAGCATCTCATCCCTTCTTCTCAGTTGGATTTCTCCTGCAGTGTGTATGACAGTGCGGTTTCATGAACATCCAGTGACAGTGTGCACCTTGACCTTTCTGGTGAGACCAGTAGATTGTCTGTGCGGCAAAGTGTTTCCGAGAAAAACTGTTTTGAATTTGCATCAGATTTAATTGTTCTGGCTTTAGGTCCATCTCTGCACGCTTCACTCTAGTTTGAATTTCTCCTGAACTCGTGATTGTATAAATATATGAATGAATAGACCATTGGCCCACTTTGCCACCTGGCATCAAGCTACTGTACGGGACTCACCTGCAAACACAGATCAAACGTTAAATCTGTTGTTTCCTTTGATATAAAGGCTCGTATTGGAACAACGACACGTATTATCACGTGAAATGATTGAAGTTCTGGACTGCTCTGAATAACTTCTAAACCAGATTTATTGATTACAAAAACACAGTCGGCTCTTATGATGACCGAAACAAGCTTAAAGATAAATTACCCAGAAAATACCGTCATCTGGTTCATAAGGTTAGAAAAGGCTTCCTTCAGTCGATCCTCAAAAAAAGGTTGACGTGAAAATGGAGAAGTTTCTTTATCAGGTCTTCGTTAGTGTGACAGTGTTTGTCTAATTTGGTTCTAATCTCTTGTTTAAGTATAATTATAATTTCTGAAAAAGGTTACACATTCTACTGCGTGCATTCATTTAAATTTATTTAATAATTTGGTCTTTAGCGATGAACATAATTGCATCATCTGCATAAAAATAAATCTTTTCTTTGAATGTTTGTACAAATGGAAAACATAGCAGCAATCAGCGCACAAACTAGAGTTAATATGATTCCCTCCATCAAATCTAAATATACCAGAAACCACGTCATTGTGATGACCGAGCGTTTATGTGTTTTTGTGTGTTTTTTGTCGTACTGTACAGTAGCCGGTCAGTTTTCTGCTTCTCGTGCATCAGATCCTGAGTCCGTTCGGCCACCAACACCTCCAGATGTTTGCTGTACTTCTCCATCTGAAAGCGAAACGGTTCGTAGAAGTTCGCTTTCACGTCAATAAAAAATATCAAAAGGACGCTATTTACGAACCAGCAACTGGGAAAATAACAGCAGCTAAGAATTACTGGACTTTGGACTTTTTGACGATCCTTGAATGTACCATCGGTAACGTAGGATGTTGTCAGAGTTATCCAGTCTAATCGACCTTGTTCTAATCGGTCTCAATTTAAAGTTCTGTCACTTGTTCCAGCTGATAGTCGATGACTGACTCAGCTGTGACCAACAGATTCTGGTTCACTGTTTTTTATATTTTACTATTTTCTGTTATTTTAGGGACCAAACATCGGATGGATTGATCAACACTAACAGCACTCCTAACTTAGAGGCCTGATGCTTCACTGATAAAAGTGGAAATGTTGGTGTATAAGAGTTGTTCATAAAAATGTTCATAAAGCACCATTTAAATTAATATAACGAACATCCACAGTCTGATATGTATCATTTATGGTAATCAATGTAAACAACAATATCATGAATCTGCCGTCTGCTGTGCTCATGTCTTTACCAGGTTCATCATCATGTCCACGGGGCTGGTTTTGATCGGGTTGATCCGGTGAAGAAACTTCCTGATTTGTTCAAACGTGGGCCGGTGGGCGGGGTTATGAGAGCGACATCGTCGGATCAGCTACGGAAACACAAGCAGGACAAAAGACAGCAGCGAATGAGATGCTCTCATGACCGTTAAAGTGTGACGAGGTTTTTATAGAAACCGTCAGCGGACCTGGGGCCTCATGTTCAAAGACTTGCGTGAATTTCATACTGAAACCTGGCGTACGCTTCAATCCTGAAAATTGTGTCCGCACAAAAAAATCCAGATGAACGAAAGTGTGCGTACGCCGGATTCCAGCACATTTCCTTTGTACATCTCACTCAGCGTGGAATTGACCGCACATGTTGGAGAACCAGACTCCTCCCTCCCCACGCCCCCAATTTAAATATGCAAATTAGTATAAACAGGGCCGACAGGTGGGATTTCCCGCTCTGCAGGATCAGATAACAGTAACAAGGATGAACTCACCCCGTTTGAGCAGAGAGTCGCCGCTATTGTGGGTGACGTTGCTGTCACAGGGGTGGTGGGAGCACACGTAGGTCACTCAGATCACCCCAAGGTAAATATTTATTGTGTAACTCA